GCTGAACAACTGGGTGTCCACAGGCCAACCAACCAACCCTTGCCCCTTACCTCATGGGTTTATAGAGCTAAATATAAAAACTAAAACTACAAAATGCCTAGACGAACACAGAAGATATTCATGATCTTGGGTAGTCAAAGATTTCTTAGGACATAAAGAAAAAAATGAGAAAACGGACTTCAACAGAAGTTCTGTTCTTGAAAATAAGAAAATAAAAAGACAAGCCACAAACTGTGAGAAAATATCCAAACATATATCCAACAAAGGACTTCCAACTGGAATAACTATAACTTTTTTTTTTTTTAGCTGAGCCATCCTGCCACCTGTTGGCAGCACAGTGGCAGCTCAGCTCAGGCCGGGAATTGAACCGGTGACCCTGTTGCTCAGAGCTCGCACTCTTGAGCGAGCTCTTAACCACCTGAGCCACTCGGCCGACCCTAGAATAACTATAACTTTAACAATTCAGTGATAACACAGACAACTCAAAAATGGGTAAAAGATTTGAAGTCTTTACAAGACCAATAAGCACCTGAAAAGATGCTTGTCATCAGTAATCGAGGAAATGCAAATTAAAACCACAGAGATACCACCACATACACAAAAATGGCTAAAATTTAAAAAGACTGACAACAGTGTTGAAAGAGATGCAGAACAAGTGGAACTCTCTTGCTTTGCTGGTGGGAATGTGGAAATGTAATCCCGTTGGAAATTTTCCAGGTGAACATATTTATCATACAACCCAGCAATTCCACTGTTTACCCCAGAGAAAAAAAAATGTCCATACAAAGACTTGCATATGAATAGATAAACAACTCATGGCACATCCGTCCAGTGGAATATTACTCAGCAGTAAAAAGGGATGAACTCCTGATAGATAACAGCATGCATTCACCTCAAAAAACATTATGCTGAGAAAAAGCACTTTCTGACATCAGGATAGATACTATAGCTTAAGTTTAATAGAAAGCAGATAGTAGTTCTAGAAAGCCTAAAGCTGGGAGGGATGGGGGATTGGGAGATGGGGAAAAAAAAAAGGGTGCATGCTGTAGGAGCCCACTTAGATGAAAACTCTAAAAAGATAAATTGAATCTAGTGACAGAAAGCAGATCAGTGGTTGGCCAGGGGATGGGGATGGGTGGGGATAGACTAGGATGGAGGCCAAGGGAAGTTTTTAGAATGATGGAAATATCTTTGAGTGGTGGTTACATGGGTGCATAAATTTATCAAACTTATTTGAATGTTATTGTACTAAACCATACCTCAATATAGTTGAATATAAAAAATAAAGTTCTAAAACCAAAGTAAACAAAAATCAGTAATAGTTACAAATTCACCAAAATCATTTTTTGAAGTATTAAACAGTTGTCCTGAAAAACTGATGAGGTGTTTCAGGAAATCTGCAACACAAAGTATCAGGATTTTTTATTCAAGCTGTTAAAATATAACACCAAAAAACCCCCCCTACATAATATGTATTCTCTTACTTTTCTCCAAGTTCAGGGCCTTGAATTTTCTGAAAGGTTTAATATAATCTTTTTTTTTTTTTTTTGGAAAGAAATCAGGGTAGTTGACTCCAAACTCTTGCTAGAGAAAAATGAGCAAATTGGGCTGTTTACTTCCAAAGAACACTCCTTTGGTAATCTGTGTTACTATTTCCAGAAACTGTAAAGTTTCTCTTTAAAGCCCTGGCTGGAAATATGCACCTATTTACCCAAATGTCCAGTCAACTGCACTTCTGGGATGTACGCTAACCTCTGAGAAAAGCAACACTAAAAAGTACTAGTTTTTATGTAAAGGAGGAGGTCAAGTCCCAGAGATGAGTCAGGTTGGCCATGTTTATCTTAGGAAAAAAATATAACTTAAACAGAAGCATAGGAATATCTTAAAGTAGGAATTTGTAAAATGTTTTTGCATAGAAGTGATCAATAAACTTTGGATGTTGAAACATTAACAGTGTTGAATATACAATACACTCAGTTGAGGAACCTGTAAATAGAAAAGACATCTTGCTTTCAGAATTTATATAGCGGTGTATAGAATCCAATGCAAACCCTTTTCCCTCCTGGAGTAACATTATTATTATTTTTAAAAAATATTTATTAGCATTTATTCTTTCTTTTTCACAATTTTTTAAAATTAGTTTCAGGTGTACAAAACAGTGCAATAGTTATACTTTTACCCCTCACAAAGTGACAATCCCCCTCCCCCAATCCACTGCCCTTCCACCCCCGATGTCATACATATTACAATTCCATTGACTCCATCCCCACACTATACTCCACATCCCGTGACTATGTGTGTGTGTGTGTGTGTATTACATTACAGTTGACATACAATATTATTCAATGTCAGCTTCAGGTGTGCAGTGCAGTGGTCAAATCTCTACACCATCAATGCAGTGGTCTCCCTAACAAGACATGTGACCATCTGACACCCTTCAAAATATTTACATTATTAATTATATTCCCCGAACTGTCTTTCATATCCCTGTGGCAATATTGTAGTTACCAATTTATGCTGTCTCGTCCCTTCCCCTTCTCCCTCATTCCCAACCCCCTCCCATCTAGCAAAAACCATCAGTTTTTCCTCTGTATCCCTGTGTATTTCTATCTACTTATTTCTTCTTTTTTTTTTTTTAAGATTTTATTGGGGAATTCGGGGAGGGAACAGCATTGGGGAATCGGGGAAGGGGAACAGACAAGTTTCTGTCCTTTTGTTCGTCGGTCTAGTTGTGGAGGACGTTGCTTCACTGGCCCATGTTGGTATTGTGATGATTGCGCTCTTCCCGGCTGAGGCAGATCGGTCGCCGGCCATTGGATGGCGGCTTACAGCAGCTCTCGCGGGCTGCCAACCACTCACGGTAGCTTAGGGCAGCCCACTGCAACAGGAGCTGCAGCCCATGCTGTCACCAGCGACTCACGGCAGCCCAGTTCCAGGTCGAGCTGTTGTTCACCATCTTAGCTGTAGAGGGTGCACCATCACTGGCCCATGTGGGATTCGCACCGGTGGCCCTGCTGCTTAGAGCTGGCGTCCCAAGCCAACTGTTAACCAACAAGCCACTTGGCCAGCTCAATTTATTCAGTTCTTTAGATTCCACATATAAATGAGACCACATGGTATTTGTCTGTCTCCCACTGAATTATTTCACTTAACATAATGTTCTCTAGGTCCATCCATATCGTTGCAAATGGTAAGATTTCATTCTTCTTTATAGCTGAGTAATACTCCATTGTATCAATGTACCACAGTGTCTTAATCCAGTTGTCTACCAATGGGCATTTCAGTTATTTCCAAGTCTTGGCTATTGTAAATAGTGCTGCAATAAACATGGGTGCATGTATTTTTTCCAATTAGCGTCTTGGGTTTCTCTGGATACATACCTAAGAGTGGAATTGCTGGGTCATAAGGTAGCTCCATTTTCAGTTTTTTGAGATAACCTCCATACTGATTTCCATAATGGCTGCACCAATCTGCAATCCCACCAACAGTGCACCAGGGTTCCCTTTTTTCCACAACCTCGCCTGGAGTAAGCTTATTTTGAATGAAGCTCTTAGATAGCTTAGAGACTCACACTTACGTGAGTAGCCTTCAACTGCATTCACTCTTCAGTACTTCTATCGTTGGAAAGCTAACTACACCTCGATCTACTGGGTCGTTGGGAAAGTCATAACATATTTTTGTTTTTCAGTGCAAAAATGCGCACAACTTTCCCGACGACCCGTTATTTTCATACCAAACTCATTTTCTCCCTTAGTCACCATCTCACTCTTTTCATGCTGGTTCCTGATTTTTTTTTTTTTTAAACAGAAGGGATATGTACTTCACATGGTAGTCTTCACATTTTAAACCATTCCTATATACACGGAGTCTAGACAATCATATGGTTTGAAAACACAAGTCAGGTTTCCAACCCAATTCCTCACATATTAAAAATCATTCAAGCCTTTTTTTTTTAAAAGCAAATCTAACAGGTCTTGCCTATTAAAAATATATGAAGTTTTGGTTGAGAGGAAACATGTGAGAATAACCCTCCCCAAACTGTGATACCGAAGAACACAGGAGTTCTGGCATCTCCTGTGAAGCACATCTAAGAGTCTGATCAAACCATGTCCACCTTCATTTCTCGTGTAGGGTAACGTGGCCTCAATTAAAGGAAAAGCTGAGCTTTTCACGTTAATAGATGTCTTAAATTTCAAGGGTTTCCATCTTTGAAGAACTAACATTTGTGTTTTCTAATGTTGTGGAAAGGAAGGTGGTGAAAAACTATAATTACACTAAGTCCCCGACTTATGAACGAGTTCCGTTCCGGTAGAACGTTCCTAAGTCGGATTCATTCATAAGTCCAACCAAGCGAGTCTTATACACTTTGACACAAATATACAATGTAAAGCATAAAAAACACACACAAAAATACTGTAAATAAACTTTTTACTTCTATAGTTACCTTAAAATGGTGGTACAACTGGCATATAGGGGATTGCATGAACTGACAGGAGAGTTACTAACTGGAGGAGCGAGGGCAGGTGGGAGATGGTGGGGCTGAAGCATCATCAGCAATAGCAGATGGAGGGCAAGATGGACACAGGCTCCAGTTAAATTGACCTATATAGAGTATACTTTTCTATCTGTTGTACTGTCTTTGTGGATTTTTAATTAAACCTTCTCATTTACAATTCAAATATCCTGATTTTTACACATGAGCTACTTCTGCGATTTGTTCGCAGCTACGAATGTTCGTAAGTTGGGGACCTACTGTACTTCTCTTACATAGGTGAGGCAGATACATAACACTTTCTCTACAATTAGTTCACTCAACCAATATTTACTGAAGGCCTTCTCCGTGCCGAGTACTGGGGATCCAGAGGCGAACATGACTAAGCAAAGTCCTTGCTCGCAGAGTTTATATTCTACGGCTAGTTTCAGTTAAACCTTAACATTTAATCAGAGTGGAAATGTGGGAGTACAATCTCTAAAACAAAGAAATAATAAAAAGATACACATAGTAAACAACTTAGAGAATTTATTTATAAAGTAGGAAATAAAAAGCATGATTTTAACATTTAGAATATGAACAAAACTAGAAAGTTAAACTACAGAAAAGGCAGAGTACTGAAGTTGGCTTAAAGGCCATACAGTTTATTTACATACAAACCAGCAAAACCCAAGTTTCTTTCATGCAAGTAAGTGTTAAGGAAGAGTGTGGTAATGTTTACAGAACAGGCCACAACAAATATTTTAAAAATTTACATAAGAAACTGTACATAAATGAAAAAATAAATTAGACCATTTACAAGAAATGTTTTATAGGTTACAATAGGCTATAACTTAGTTTATTATGAATAAAATTTGTAGCACATCATACATTTTTACATTACAGATTCAGTGTTAGAAGAAATCCAACATGACAAAGCTTAGACTTGACAAGAAGAATGCAATAGAGGGAATAAGGCAACTTAAACTGAAATGGCTTGTATAAGTAAAAGTAACACATACGAAGATCTATGTATGATTTGGTCAATAACTGGGCAAAATTAAGACAACTTCAGTCAAAAAGTCAGTTTCACTGTAGTTGAAATAAAAAATGAAAGCACATGATGTTTTAAAAAAAATGATAAAAACATCTTAACATGACTTCCATCCTAATTCCACTAATTATATTTGGGAAAGGAGACTAGGATATTGATGTCAGGTCTATAAAGTTATCTCGTTTCTAAATGTAAACTAAAAAGAGTATCTCAGAAAAAAGTGACAAATTTCAAAATGGCTTAATATTTGCAACAAGTACTGACTGATATCCATATGATTCAGATACAATGTAAGGCTAAAATCATCTCAAACTATCTGCATTATTTATGTATACTTTACAAATTATGTAAAAGCAGCTATGTCTCCTTTGAAAGCTACTGGAACTGTTAAGCACTGCAGTGTATGAATGTTAAAAACAAAAAAATACGTATAGCACTATCTTAAAATGGAAATTTACTTGCGTATTTATACAATTCAAAATCTTGAATTTTAACTTCACTCCTTTGAAAATTGCATTCCTCATTAGTTCTTTTAAACACAAAATTAGTGGCTGCTACGACAAAAAGACTGAAAAATCTAAAAGAAAAATAACCTCTGACTAAAGAAAGAGCCAGAATGTAAAGATTTTGATTTTTTTCTTAAGGAGAAAAAAACCTGACTTCCTGTTACACGTCACTCAGCACTAGCTCAGCACCTAAAGCCCCACTATCAGCTCACTGCTCCGTTTATTTTAAATAGTGTGATGGAAATGTCAGACACGTGTCCAATCCGATTATTCTGACAACCCTAAGGGTAAGAGTGTTTCTGGTCTCATATTTGAGGTAGGGGACTACACTACGTAATGAAATATTGAATTCAACTAACTTGTAGGTAATTAAAATTGTTTTATAAATTTCACTACAAATTATTTGACAAAAGCAGTACATAATTCCAGGAGGGGTTTATGTCACATCTCTCTCCACTCACAATGTTCAGAAATAAACAAGCTTGAAGAAAAGGGTCACTAAAAACTCCCAATATAGTTAATATTCAAACATCTATGGACTTAGTGGGATGTTTCTTGTTGTACAATGGAAAAGTTATAATAATGGCCATATAATTTTGAAGTTAACATGGTAAAAATCCCAGATACCTTTACAGATGAAAGTACGCACACTTTTATGGCCATATATATATAAAACCCTTCAGATTACTTTAATTTAAATTACTGCCTGCTTGGCTCTTACAGGCAGTAACATAACATTATGAGAAAAGAACTAATACCATTCTGTTGGTTTAGTGAGAATTCAAAATCTAGTACCTGTCAACATATACAAATAAATTCCAAAACATGATGCCAGTATCTGAACCAGCTGTTTTAGTCATTCCAAATGCTGCCATGAATGAAGCAAAAAAGCTCTTTCTCAGGATCCTGATGGTAGTTGATTCCACTGTAACAAATCAATTTCCTCATTTTACAAATAAAGAAAACCACATTCAAAGACATTAGACCAGTACCTGGTGCTGTTTCTAATACAATATGAAATTATGATCCCACGTCCACAGATGACATAAAAGATAGGGATTGCTTTAAGAAAATGTGAGCTTTTTGGAAGTGGAAATTACTCAAAATTTAGATAAGGCTGCAAAGCTGGGATGACTTTTCATGCCATAATTTTAATAGGCTATTGAAATACTTTAAAGGGAAAAAAATTACTTTTTGGGTCTTTGATGATTATTACCAGGCTCAATAAAAATATAAAACAACTTTTGTCTCAAGTATTGAAAACAGGTGGTAGTATAAAGCACATTATTTTGTGAGATTATATGATAGAAAAAAGTTGGCTGAATTCCTTCAGTATTAGAATAAAACACTAAAATAAATGTATTGGGGAAAATTAGGACATCACTGACATTTCATGGCAAATCATCTTAAATAGGTCAAGGAGTAGTTTTTTAAAAAGGCAATATGTTTCTAGTATTTTGTTTATACGTACCACAAAATACTAAGTTAAATGAAAAATAATGTACACTCATTTTCCTGGTGATTATTCTTTTTCACATGGCTTTAAAGGAGAGTTTCTAAACTACATTCTCAAATGTAATAGATTAAAAAGCATTAAGTGCTCAACCAGAAAAAAAAAGATAAAATATGAAAAATTTTGTACACAACAAACAGTGGTTACAAAGGACATCTGGAAGCTATTACCTTGCTGAGCGCTGCACCCAAGAATGCAACCTTGGAAGTCAAGGCAAGACGCCATGCCTGCTCTGAGGCAAGAATTATCGCTAGACACGGAGGGGAAGCTTTGCCCTTGCAGCTGCATCATTCTGCTTACAAAACTGAAACTGTCGGGAACCAGTCCTTACACAGCACTTAATATCGCAATCACATTTGCACGCAAAGGCAAAAACTCAGGAATCTTTAGAGTCTAATATTTGGCAAATATTCTGAACCTCTTGAAGGACTGTCAGTTACCAGGGATATGTTATTGGCAGTAGCACTGACGTTACCTAAACTGAGAGTCCACCTATTTAAATTAGAGTTGCTGAGCAATGAACTGCCCGTGTCGACAGGCAACCAAATCAACTAATGCTTTGTCTGTGGAGAAATCAGGGTGCAGAACTGAAAGCCATTAGCTCTGAAAATCTCTGGTTATAACAGGCAGTCTTTTTTGGGTGGTTGTGGAAAGTTCTAGACCTTGTGTTCTTTACCAAGCCCCAAAACAAGCTGATAGTGCTCCCTGCATTTGAAATGTTATCAAAATGTTTAGAACTGAAAAATCCAAAAGTTATAAAGAAGATTCTCTTGTGTGTACATAACTCAATGAAGAATTAAAAGGGCCTCTTTTTACTCCTTTACAACTGGTTTCTTGCAGTTAAATTAGATAAGGCGGGGGGAATGTATTGTAAATCGCTTGAATCATCAAACTTGCTTCAGTGAAGGAAACAGGCATTTTGGAGGCTGGGGGCAGTCAGAGTGTGTGTTGGGGAACTTTATCAGCTCCACACTGTGATGAGGTGGCAGGATGCAATGTGAAGTATTTTTGGAAAGGTCAGAAATCAGCTTGTCTGGGTAAAATAAATTCGCCGAAATCAGCTACTTCCTATCCCCCCTTCTCTAAAAAACAAGGTTCTCATATTTTCCCCTCACACTTTCTTTAAAAGCCCATCTTCATGAAGTTTTAGTGGCTACATCACAGTGCTAGCTCCAAAACTGCTCTAGTACAGTAGCCACTACCCCAGTGGGGCTGCCAAGAACCATGGCTACTGACGTGTGGTTAGTCTAAGCTGAGATGTGCCGTAAGTGTAAATACAAACTGCTGCTTTAGACAACTAAGTACAAAAAAGCCAAAACGTAAAATGTCCCCTAAATAACTTTTAATATTGATTACATGTTGAAGTAACATAGAGAATATACTGTATTAAATAGGAATATATAATGAAAATGAATTTCATCTATTTTTTACTTTTTAAATGTGCCTACTAGAAAATGTGACGTTACACGTGGCTCACATTTTATTTCTGTTAGCTCTGTTCAGGAAGGCAGAACTCTGAGGCATTATGTTGATTGGGATTAGAATCAAACCTCTTCATGACTGTACGCTTAGAAGGAATTTGAAGTCATAATCAAAAACTAGAATCGTGGCAGCCTCCATCATAATTCTGTGTTATTATTCCAGTAATTCTAGGTTATCCATGAGAATTGTCACGAGCAAGTGTGGTGGGATGGTACTCCCCTCTACATGCCTTATAGCAGGTAACTTCAGTTTCAAAGGACAAAAAGTAGGAATTAAGTCCCAAATTAACCAAAGTATTGATCAAATTAACTTATATAGACATTGATCATTCCATTTCTCTCTTAAAGACCACCCCAAACCTATAGCTGCTAATGTACAGTTTGCCACAGGAATACAACTTGAAGTTATTGTCATTTAGAAATAAATACTTTTTGTACAACCCAAATCACAAATTTGAAAATAAACTGAATAGATGGCTTTGGCTGATATATCTTGTCTCACTATAATGGAAACATTAAAAGAAAGAAGCTTTTAGTCACTGTAGGTTTTCAAAATGACTAGTGCTTGACATAAATTCAAAGTTCCAAATATTCTAAATTCTAAAAATTACCTTGACATACTTTCCCCTTTACCCATTCACTTCTATTATTCACTTTAATGTCTTTAGATAAAGAAAACTGAATTCTAAATATTTGAGCACAAAATTTGAAAACTACAGGAGAAATGTCTTTATCAAGCACCTCTTGGTAGTCTAATGAAAATTATTCTCTATGGAGCAAAACTGTGTGTTCTGTAAAAACACGAACACGTCGTAATACTTCTTCCTATAATGTAAACAACTTTAAGCTCTTCAAAGCACATCCAGATTCCCTCGTAATTTCAGGAGGCAAATTTCCCCCCCAAGCCTCTCTACTCTGTAAACCGTAAATACCAGTCTTAGACAACTTCACAGAACTACTGGACCTCCAAAATGTTACTGTCAAAGTAAAAACCTGAAAAAACTTATAACGTTATAAAAAAATGATTCAAAATAGAGAACAAATTCTAAGACAAAGGGATTTACAAATTTTGGAACTATAATCCTCTGATTACCAGAATGTATAAAACACTGATCCTCTTGTAATTTTGCAGTACTGCCTTAGAGTCACAGAGTTTCAAAACAACTCATCTCTCAGATTTCCATAACATCCATTTAGAATAAATGTGATTTTGATGCTGTTCACAATAGAATTACATCTTGCGCTTTGATGGTTCGGACCTAATTAAACAGAAATGGCTGAGTCTGGGCCTGAGATAAGCGTGGTACAGGAAAAGCACAGAACTCCACCAGTGCATGCAAACCATACTCCATCAAAATAGTCCTGGGACCTCATCAAATGGGCTTTCCAATAAGCAATTAAGTCTCCAGTTAAAAAATACTAAACATTTTATAATGTATTGATTACCTATTAAAATACAGAAAGTGCAATATCACCAAATCTGTGCATTATCTAGAATTCATTTAAAATTCAGGCTAATATTTAATAGTATTTCAATTAAATCATGGCGTTGGAAAAAGGTACTTCTGGGAAAAGATTACACAAACGTACTTTTTTTGGGGGGGCGATATGTTAGGAAAACTATAATAATGAAAATTAATATTGCCTTAACATTTCTAAAATCACATGAAAATGATCATCTTTGATTGCCATTTCAATTAATCTTGACACAGGGAATGTTACTGTCTGTTTACTAGTAACCAAAACACACATAGAACAGACTTGTAACAAATATTCAGAATCAATTATTTTCATGAGCTAAACATTTCTGAGATTTTTAAGATTTGTGTTTGAGCATACAGTACTGTAATGTTGGCTGCATAAAATAAATAGAAAATCTTTTTGAGAGAAAGCTCAATTATCAGAGGCTGTATTGCATTTAACACTGGCTATATACAGAAGGGAAAGCATTTCAATTAGAAATACTTCACCTGTTTCCAAGTTCTGTCTTTTAATATGGCAACATTTAGCGGCTTACCATTTTGACATTTAAAAATCAACAGGAATAGTGCTACTTTTATATATCCTTTGGTTCCCAATGACAAATAATGCAGTAATAACGCCTCTGGTTTTCAGTTCCTCTTAGATGACATTTATTAGCAGAGCGAAACCTGACGCTTTAGCTGAAATTTGGCAGCCCAAGAAGTGCACCAACTGCTCCAAAGTATCCCTGTATAGTGTTAAAACAATGATTAATGTAGTACAGCCTTTCCAGTTAGCATACAGCATTAACTAGTATTAAGAACGCATTTATATTATAATCTACTTAAGAACATCTATTCAGAAATTAACAAATTCTGTGTTGTCAGCTATTGTAAAGAGTTTTTTAACTGTATTCTCAATATACCTTTGCAATACCTATTTTTAATGTGTGGCTTTTAGACACTAACGCTTCCGGGGCTATTATTGCAGTTCTGTGCCCTCTCCCCTCCACCCAGTAAACTTCCTGTGGCTCCCCTGCCACTCTCACAGCATGCTCCACGCCACGCAGAGCTGCACGAGGGTAACACCATTCTGGTTGTATAGTCAGAGCAGTGCCAGTGAAGCACGGACACTTAGTGTTTGTTCCCTTATAAGGGAACAAACACTGACTCTGTGTTATTACATTTTTAATATATCCATTTGACCAGAAACAAAGTAATTCAAGGTAAATTTACTTAATCCAAAACATTATGTGAACTGGTATTTGCTTAGATCAGAATTTAACTAGATATAGTGAATAAATACAAAAAAAAAGAAAAAAGATTAAGAACAATTTTCATTGCTAAATTATCTATTTTTGTATTGTTCACATTGAACATTTGTTATCTCATGGGAGGGGGAAAAAACAGAGAAAACAATTTAACAAAGCAAGTCATCACAGGCAGCCCCAGCATTTAAGGAGCTCACAGACCTGATATTGCTCTCTTAGAAGGACTGGGGTGTTCTTGTCTTAATGGGGTGCCTGCCAGGTTACAGTAAGCCCGAGTCCCCAACTCAAAATGAAGTGAGGGAATCAATATACTACTTAGGTCAATTGTAGTTTTATACTTATAACTACAGAGCAAGAAGCAATATATGGGACCTGCATATAAAAGCGTTATATTAAAATTCACAAAGCATTATTTCCTTACCTCATGCTCTAGAAACAATGCTTTCAGTTGACCTTTTGACCAGTAATCCAGTGCATATGCCAAAAGTTTCATTGAGAGAGTATTGACACGTAAAAAGTTTCCAACAAAGACAACTCTGTTTATTTTCTAAAAGAAAAGAAGAAAATGACTTGAAAAAAGAATTATGACGTGGATTTCACAATACAAAATCTCTACTTGACAATGCAAACTACCTTCTCTTAGTGTCTACTACATCCCTGGTTCATACCTCCATAATCCTGAATATTTAACAATTAGCTCTGGACATGTCACTACACATTTGTCAAAACCCATAGGATGTACACAGCAGACTCAAATGTCGCCTACGGACTTGGGGTGAGAATGCTGTCAGTGCAGGCCCACTGACTGTCACAGACAGAGCGACGTGCTGCTGGGTGTGGACAGCAGGGGGGCTGTGCCTGTGTGGGGTCAGGAGTATGCAGAAACTCTACTCCCCACTCATTTTTATGTGAACCTACAACTGCTCTAAAAAATAAAGTCTATCCATTTTAAAAGGGAAAAGCTCTTGAAAGACTGTAGTAAATGATTATAGATGAGACTTTTTGAAAATGGCCAAGAAATAATCTGTTTAACAAAGTAAGTTAGACAACCGTTATTGATGAGATTAAAGGAAGAATATTTTAAATGCGTTTAGGGTTAAAACAAGCTGTAAACTTGGCCAGCATGTTGCAATGTATGCTCAGCCATGACGTGCAGCCCTGGACTTTATACCGAAGTGGAAGCAATGCTGACTGGGGTGCGGCGTACACACCCACCCCTGGGCTTCCAGCACTCTGTCCAAGCCTAACCCATCAAGCCACTCTCTCTGCTAAGATTCTACTCACGCATTTAGTTCCTTAGGGATCTCTACGACTAGGAAATCTTAGATGGAGGAACTGGTGTTTGTATCTACACAAAACCTATTTCTACTGGCACAATAATATATTGACTTTTGAGTATACATTTTTGTTTTTTGGGTTTTTTCGGTTTGTTTGTTTTTTTAGCTGAGCCATCGTACCACCTGTTGGCAGCTCAGCGGCAGCTAAGCTCGGGCAGGGAATTGAACCAGCGACCCTGTTGCTCAGAGCTCACACTCTTGAGCGAGCTCTTAACCAACTGAGCCACTTGACTGTCCCATGAGTATACATTTTTGAACATTAAATTTGGACAGTGTAAACTGTGGCCTTAAATTATTGTTAAGAATATTGGCCAGTGACAATCTAGACCTGCAGGGCTATGAAAAAACATCCCGGATTATAGTGAGTCCCCAAAAGTGAAATATTGCCAAAACCTTGGTCAGAATGCCTACCAACTTCCTACACTGTTATTAAGAAACTGAAGAGATAAAACTCTGGATTTAAATAGAATAATTCAGAGGATTAATTCAGGTTTGTGCACAGTTGTTCTCTCTGTTGGAGCCTCTTCCCCCGCCAGATATCTACACGTATGATTCTTTTACCAACTTCAAATCTTTGCATAAAGGTCACAATTTCAGTAAAGCCTCCGTCAACTACCAATTACTCAGCAATCTGTCCTCCACTCTCGGGTCTATTCTGAATTCTCTGTGTCCTGTCTGATTTTCTCTTTTTGAAAAACAGCATTTGTCACCTAATACAAACTAAACGATTTGCTTATTTACTGCATCATTAGAATGAATGCAAGCTCCACAAAGTCAGAGATCATTGTTTTCTTCACAAATGGACCCCAGTGCCTAGAACCATCCCTGTCACATGGCGTTCTGTAAATATTTACTCAAAATGAATGAACAAATGAAAGGTTACTTCAAAAAGCAAAATTCTCTATTCATTTAAAAGTATTTGACATTTACAAAAATTAAATAGGCAAATATACCCATCACATGCACGCAGGACTATAAAGCCTCCTTCAAATAAAAATGACCCATTTACGAGCTAAATCTAACGGTAGAGGCGTCAGATGTCATGTGAAGAGCCAGGCTCAGTGCCTTCATAGCCCTGTACAATGCTGCTTGATCCATATGCAACAAGGCAGCACTGTAAAGAAGCCGAGGGCAGTAAGCAAACTTCCAAGCACTCCACTCATCAAATGCAACATTAGCAGGAAAAAACAACACTTTTTTCTTATACATCATCAAGAGATTTAGTCTGTATAATCAGGTGCCACATAACAACATTTTGGTCAACGACTGACCGGATATACGATGGTGTTCCCTTAAGATTATGAACCAGAGAAATTCCTATTACCTAGCGACGTCACAGCCATGTCACTGCCATCTTAACGTTGTAGCACAGCGCATTACTCCAGATTGTGCTGATGTTGGTGTAAACAAACCTGCACTGCCAGTCGTATGAAAGTATAGGATGTACAATTGTGCACAGAACGTAATACTTGATAATGATAAATGACTATTTACTGGTTTATGTATTTACTATACTAGACTTTTATTGTTACTTTAGAGTGTACTCATTCTATTTATTAAAAAAGTCTAAGGTAAAACAGTATGCTGTATTACGCCAGTAGCAGCCTCACACAATCTCGTGTTTGCCAGGTCTCTTGAGTGCATCATTTCCCCTTGTGCTTGACTGAATCTCTGTTGTTTTGTGTAAGTAACGTACTGTACAGGCTCGTAGCCGAGGAGCAGCAGGCTGTCCTACAGCCCAGGTGAGCCGCAGGCTGTGCCCTCTCGGTGTGCGTCCGGGCGCTCTATGATGTTCGCACATGAAGTTCCTAACGACACATTTCTCAGAACGGCCCGTCGTTAAGTGGCACATGACTATTTCTGAAAAGGTGAATTGAAAATACCTGTCCTATTTCTGATTTGAGTGATCTGCTACATTCTTTAATGGTAATGTACCAGCTGGGTACATAATACATATGCTTAATGAGTCTTGGGATTTAATGCATTAGGAGATCTCGACCCTATAGTCCCCCTTAAGGAACACAAAGAAGCCCTGCTATATGTACATCAACTTCAATTCACATTTTTCGTATAATTATAAATGTCCTTACCTCATTTACAGCACACATTCGTGCCACAGAACCAATGTTATTGGTGATAGTTACTAAGGTAGCTCTTGCCAGATCTTCTTTACTAACAGATTCTCGCTTCTCCTTATAAATCATGTTCCCAAAACTGCAGAGAAATGAGAAAACAAAAAAATCAAATCTGCTGATAAAAAGCAACATTTCATATATCTTGGAAATTTATCCTACAGATAAATCGACACATTGGATTGTCGGAAAAGTCATGACGCATTTTTGCAATGGACAACAGGAAAAACACGTCATGACTTTTCCGACCACCCAATATATACGAGGTTACTCATCGATCTACAAAATGTACACAGCAAAATACTGGAAACTCAAGCATCATCAATCAATGCAATATCATGAAGCTGTTAACAAAGGGGAGAGGGCAGGGAGGGAGAAAGGTAAGGGAGGAAAAGGGAGGAGAGGGGAGAGAAAGAAAGGGAGGGGGCACACAGACTAGGATATACTACTGTTGAAGAGTATATACAGTGTGCTTTTTAATGGTATATAAATGTTACCTTCTATATCAGGGAGGGTAAGGATATGTATTTGTATAGAGAAACACTGAAAGGATACTCAATTAATGAAAATGGTTTCCTATAGGGTGCACTCAGGAAGACTTCTTAATAGCTAACTTTCAAAATACAGGAGTATTCAAAATTTAAAACCTAAACTGGGTAACAGGAAGCCCCCTTACAACTTCCTGATATATGTAATACTTTCTGAAAACTAAGCAACTTTATTTTTTAATTTTTCCATTACAGTTAACATACAATATTATGTTAGTTTCAGGTGTACAACATAGTGATTAGACATTATATAACTTACGAAGTGATGATCTCCGTAAGTCTAAAAGCCATCTGACATCATACATAGTTCTTACATTATTATTGACTATATATTCGTTATCCTGTACTTTACATCCCTGTGACTGTTTTTATAACTAGCAATTTGTACATCGTAATCCCTTTCCCTTTTTTACCCTTTACCCCAAATCCCCTCCCACCTGGCAGCCACCAATTTGTTCTCTGTATCTGAGTTTCTGTTTTGTTTGTTCATTTATTGTATTCTTTAGATTCCACACATAAGTGAGATCATATGGTATTTGTCTTTCTCTGTCTGATTTATTGCACTTAGTATAATACCCTCTAAGTCCATCCACATTGTCACAAAAGGTAAGATTTTAATCATTTTACGGTTAATATTCCATTGTACATATGCACATTTTCTTTATCCATTCATCTATCAATGGACACTTAGGTTGCTTCCATATCTTGGCTATTGCAGAAGACAGTGAACATAGGGGTGCACATGTCTTTTCGAGTTAATGTTTTGGATTTCTTCGGATAAAGACCCAGAAGTGGAATTGCTGGGTCATAAGATAGCTCTATTTTTAATTTTTTTAGGAACCTCCAAACTGTTTTCTGTAGAAGCTGGAACAATTTGCAATCCCACCAACAGTGCACGAGGGATCCCTTTTCTCCACATTCTCCCCAACACTTGTTCTTTGCTGATTTACTGACGCTGGCCATTTTGTCAGGTGTGAAATGATATCTCATTGTGGTTTTAATTTGCATTTCCTGATTCATGATGTTGAGCATCTTTTCATATGTCTGTTGGTCATCTGTATGTCCTCTTTGGAGAAATGTCTATTCTGGTCCTCTGTCCATATTTTAATTGGATGGTTTTTATTTATTTATTTATTTATTTATTTTTTGGTGTAAGTTGTATGAGTTCCTTACATAGTTTTGATATAAATAAGCAACTTTAATTACAACATAAATGTTAAACTTACCTAGATGCTACAGCCCAACCTGGAAGACCAAATCTTTCATAATCTCCTCCATAAATATCACGGACCAGCTTGTCAGCTTGGGTGCTGTCACCTTTGGATGCCATTTCAAGAGCCTCTTCAAAACTTTCACAGCCAGTCAATAAACTGCATAAGCCCAGAAAAGTACCTCCTCCAAGGCTAAAGAAAGTAAAGAAACATGATGAGCTGCATTTATACATTGTGTTCTTTCTCCAAGGTGAAAGGGTGAAGCACTTATTTACTCAATAAACACGCAGAAAGAATATACTGCTAATGCTAAGTGCTGAAATATTAACATAATGAGGAAAGGTGAAAAATGCTTAGCAAAACCAAACTTGTTAAATCAAAGAATAAACTAAAGGAATAAATGGCTTGCTGGAAACAGCATGAGGACAGGAAGGGATCTTTTTATTATCCAGTATCTTCAGCTGATACTTTATACTTCGTAATTGCTAAAACTAAACGTTTCTGTATGCATTAAATGAGAATAAGGGTTAAAATCAGTACTATATTAAAAGGAGAAAACTGGTAATTCTAAATGGCTTCCAGGAAATGATTTTGTGCAAGGCCAATGTACTTGGCCTGACAAGGCTAAAATCAATTCAGTGAGATATATTAACATTTCACATGACCTAGAAATGAACACAGGAAATTTACGTCAGGCAGGTCATCATGTTAATGACACAAATTTACTTGGTTCTGTTATTCTTTTGGATGTGCTCACAAAATGACATCAAGCTCACTCTAATTCCTAAAATCAAAACCTTTGCTTCCTAGTCTCACTTAAAATTCTAACACGTTCTATCCCTGAATAACTGTTGGAATTTAGTTAACAGGCTGGATTTCTGTCTTTTAGAATTGATTTAAGTGAGGTAATACTGTAGTCCCCTCTTATCTGCAGGGGACGCATTCCAAGATCTCTACTAGATGCCTGAAACTGCAGATAGCAATGAACCCTTGTTATTTGCTATATATACACACACTTATGATAAATTTATAAATTAGGCACAGTAAGAGATTAACAATAACTAACACTACAATAGAACAATTATAAGAATATACTGCAAGAAAAGATGTGACTGTGGACACTCGTGTCAGGGGATCCCTTGCTGAAGTTTTTCTGGCACAACGTGTTGCCATCAGTTGGAACATGTTTTCTGTTCACGTCTTCCACCCACAGATGTAATGCCTTTTCCATCGTAACTAAGCACTTACCATGCACATGGCTGTAACTTTTGCAGTCTGAGGCATGACAGCAAAACTAGCAGGCATTTTTTGTCCTTCTTTGCTATTTCACGCATAGAAAATTCGTTCTTACCATAGATCTTAGGAACCTCGGCATATTATGTTTTTCTTTCCTTATTATTAAGTCAAGGGCATTCACCTTTTCACTTAAAGAAGCACTTCAAGACTTCTTGGTGTATCTGAATTGCCAGCATCACTATTCTTGTGCTTTGGGACCATTATTATTTAGTAAGCGTTACTTGAACACAAGCACTGTGACACTGTGACAGTCGATCTGATAACCGAGTCGGCTGCTAAGTGACTAACTGGCAGAGAGTGTGAACACCATGGAGATACTGGACAAATCAGGACAGCATGGCGATCACGGTACTCAGAACAGTGTGCAATTTCTAGGTTACAAATTATCTCAGGAAATTTCGATTTAATAATTTCGGACTGCAAGTGACCATAGGTAAATGAAACCGTGCAAAGCAAAACTGTAGATGGGCAGGAGGGATTACTGTACCCCCCTGTAATTCTCTGGCGTACATTTACAATGGAGGTAGATTTTTAGCCATCACGGAAATGAAATACTACTTCAAGTATTATTTAAGTAGAGTACTACTTTAAAACTGAAAAGAATATTCACAGACCAATCTAAAGTATCCCCAAATCTTTCTTCCTCAATTAATACAGGAGTCTCCACACTCCTTAGAAATTGATAAAGTACATATCAGAACCATGAGGAAAATTTTAAAATCTCATTTCACATTCATGTTTTAGGTAGTATAGAAAATTTGATGGGATATTTGGGACATTAATATTATCCCATAAAGAGCTCATGTTAAATTCATCCTATAAGAATTAATTACAGTGTTGCCCTGTACTCTCCATGAAATCAGCATATAGCAAGCTTTAGGCTTAAATACATCTATAAAAAATGAAAAATAAGGAAACAAAAATGCTTTGGAAAATAGTTACTGGAATCATTCCAGACAAAATTTCACTCATAACATTATGGAAATTTTAATGCCAACTCATGTTAACCAAACATAAATATTTAATGATTTTAATCTGAGTTAACACTCATACCTTATATAACAGCAACACTTTGACTTATATTTGCACATTACATTTTTGATGTTGAACAAACACGTTATTTTCCTATGAAGCTAGTATTAATATATTGATTTCACAACTTCTGTGTACAAAACATACGGATGCTGCAAAGGTCGCTTACCTTGTTCCGGTTACTCGCTTATAGTTGTCTTTGGAATGGACTGCTAAAATGCTGACTCCCGAGCCAATGTTCACTACCAGCAGTGGATAGGGGTCATCCAAGTTAAAAGGCATCTTTTGGCATCGCTCCGGTTCTGAGGCATTAGCAAAATAATAGCACTCTGCTTGTCCATTGAAACTGACAGAATCTATATACAGCAAGCCCTTTACAAGGCAGTCAAGTTCATCCAGTTTGTGCAGGTGGAGGTTTCCAATCTGTAAATTAATACCAAAAGAAGTTTTATAAAGTGAACAAAGAACAGCATTCAGAATACTGAGTCAATTGTACAGTATAATTTTCAAATCATCTACAGCTCCCCCCAGTTTCACTTGTTTCGTGTCAGAATCTCTTCAGGATTTCATTGAGTCCAGTGGTTCTCAATGATAGTTGTGTTACCTCTTGGAAGCCCTTTTGAAAATCGGTGGGGACATTTTAGTTTTCACCAAGATAGGGGACAGGGGAGGACAGAACTAACATTTAATGGCAGGGACCTGGGATGCCAGACGTCTGTAATGGGTGGGGCAGTTGTGCCAAACAAAGAATTGTCCCATTCCTGCATTATCCTTGTTCTGACAGACATTTTGTAGGTAGCAGGAGGAAAATCTGTTTATACAATACTTATCTGAGCCTATGTAAGTAAGCACAAAGTATTTCCCAATCTGTGTGTATAAACAGTCTCATTTACATGGTTTTAATATATACTAAATTGCTAGGAATGCAACCACCAAATAAAGTGAGGGAATACTATACTTCTTACTGCTTGAAATTTTACCAAATGTGGTTTTAGCATCTTGGAAAGTTATATCCCCAACAGCAACACCATTTGTGGTATTTGATTCTCCAATAAAACATACCACATCAAATCTAGTATTTGTGGCTTTAGAGTTCACAGTGAATCTATGCAGGTGCAGGCATCTAACTGCTTCATTAAACCCTCTCATGTGCTCATACCAGAGAATCTACCTACTGATAGGCATATATATGCCTTAATTTCCTGTCTTCCTGTTATAGTTTGGGTACTAGTTTGAAATTATTAAATTCATTTCAGGTTAGTAGTCTGTTATAAAATATTTGTTACAAAAGACCTCAACTTAGATAACACTTCCTCTGGGAAGCTTTTCAATTCTCTAGGACTTACTTAGCACTCCTCCAGTGTTCCCAGGGCACCTCTTTAACCATAACAATAGTATTAATTATAAGGCATTGTACTTCTACTTGTAATTCACTTAATCTGTGTGGTCTAGAGTACTGCACTTTGAGGGCTAAGTTTATGTCTTCTTCCCAGCACAGTGTCTGTCTAGCACAGTAACTGACACATACTAGATGCTCAAATCTTAATGACTGAGCATCAACAAAAACAAGTACTACAGAAATTCATCACTACAAAATAATCAACACTTTAAAAGGAGAAACCAGAAGAAGTCCGTGTTTGGAGGCCAGTGTTCAGCGGCATGGTGAAAGCTGACCTCACAGACACCGCTTTTGGCAAGCATGTCCAACCAAACTGATCTCAGATTCCTGGAATTTATGTTCAAAGTACTCAATACAAATTGGTATTATCCATCAGAGAAAAAAAATTCTAATCAAAATTTAGACTTTTAAATTACCTCAAGTTGCAAGGGGCTCACTTATTGTGAGCCACATAAGTGATCACTTATGTTCTATTAACAGACATTTCTTATGTGAATTGAGAAATTACCTGGTGTACATGCATATTTTCAAGGAAAACAAACTTCAGTAGCCCTAAATACCAACTTTTTAACCTTTATCCTAATGAAAAGGATTAGGAGGTTGGCAAACCCCCAATAGCATGTACCTCAAATCAATGCTTATATAGACCTCTCGCCATATCCAAATTGCCCACTTTGAGACAACATAAAACCAGGAAGAAAAGCGTAACGGACTTTCCACCAGGTGTCTACTAATCAAAAGACACTGGCTTCAGTTGGGCTTTGGGCAGGAGATGGCCCTGGGAGAGATGACTATATGGATAATATTCAAAGAAACCATGCATACACAGCACAATAATAGTGGAAGTAATTCAAGCCCCATTTATATCTGGCTTTGTACACTGCCAAATTCATCAAAGTCCCTTTTATTGTAGCAGTCCCTAAAGTTAGCATGTTTTACCAAACACAGTAATACCTTGGTTTGCGAGCATAATTTGTTCCAGAAACAAACTACTCATATGGCAAGACATCACTTGTTTACGGCGTTAAAATGTATTAGAAATATTTGCACGTCTTGTAGAACACTCGCAAACCAAGTTACTCACAATCCAAGGTTTTACTGTATTATGTACAACAATGATCCCAAATCTGGGCAATTTTTACTAATCCTATAAAGGTGTTTAAATGCCCCAAATCAAAAGCTAATCATGTATCCTTTTGTAGCTCATAAGTGTGGTGACTGGGTGTTCACACTTCTGAGGTGTGTCTCCTTCAAACCTTGTTACGACATAGGTACATTACCCGTCTGCTGTGAACTTGAAAAAAAGCCAGTCATGAATACGTACTTCCTTTGCATCAGCAGGAGGAAGTAATGCACGAAACATGGTAGATGGAAACCTAGTTTCATATTTTAAAAACTGAAGTGAATGGCTATCAATTTTTGGCTTTGAGTAGTAACAGATACCTACTGTACGAAAATCTTTTTCAAACTTGTAAGCACCACCTCCTGTAGCACATAGCACCGTGTGTAACGTTGAGAAGTTTTTATCTCTTCCCATTTGGATAAAAGTAGGCAAGTCCTGGGTTGGAAATCTGATAAAGTGCAGGTTCCCTCTTCGGCCAAAAAGCGTTAAATCCTTCAGTTCAAGGTGTACGTCCCGAATACCAGTGGATCCATATGCTACATTAGAAGTCAAATACTTCCGGATACTTTTCAAGCTCTCAACTTCTTCTTGTTCTTCTTCTGCTGTGATATCAATAGGTTCAAAATATGAGAGCTTTACTAGAGTTCCCCCAATGTCCATGCCAAACCATGGGAAAGCTGTGGATAAAAAAAAAGGATACAAATATATTTTTGGAAATGCAAATTAGGAACTAGTTCATTAGCCACAAACTTCATTTACTTGCAATCATGCCTTCAGTCAGTAACACTTATGAGGTAAGATGTATCTTCTATGTGCAACTCACCTTTTCCCCTTCCAAGTATTATTTGTATATTTTCTAAAAACTCCTAACATAGGATGCTGCTAGCTGGCCCAGGGCCTTTTAATTCCTGGTCTGGTAGGCGTTCCTTTTCATTTATGAAATACCATGTGAAAAATTGGGGCTAATTCTGTTTTAAATAAATAGGTCATCACCTAGGGCTTGAAAACATTTCTACCAAGATTTACTGTAATAAAATTGGCCAATAATCACTTAAGGTAACAAACACTTCAGGGGAAAATACATCCTTAAGAAGAAACCTTTTCTTTGCTCATAGAGCATATTAGGTTTCTTTAGTGCAGCTGGTTGATAAAATTAGCTGTTAATAATGTTGATAGTAAGAGTGCTTGGAGGCAAGCACATTTTGGGGAGTGGGGCACGTACAATAGTTTGGGGCTGGGACGTGGCGCTTTTTCACTAACTGGGCCATGTGACTGGAAAAGCCGTTAACCTCTGCACCTTAGTTTCCTCAACATCTGTTTCTGTTCTCCGGGAGTTTTAGTATTATGAGAGAGACTCAAAAATAATTTAAGACTTAACATACATAAGTTACAAAATGCCTGGTAAAATGAATTAACAATTTTTAATGTAAAACTTGTTCAAGAAAACTAGTTCCCTCGAAAATTCTACATTGTTTCTTAAATATTCATATTATTTGATACGTGCGTACCATTAGAAACTCAGAACACGATTCAATGAGAAAGCATTCTCTACATTTTTCTATTTCAGAATTTATATTTACTGAAATTAGGAAATGAAATTGAACATGACGAAGGAGTAACTCTCATCTTCTTGCGGAGAAATAGCTCATTTATTTTTTGTATTTGAAACCCTAGTTGCAGATCCAGCTTTACATTAAGGACAATCTTAAGAAAGAAACATTAAAAAAAAAAAGTATAATGACTTTAGAACATAATTTAGGAAGCTAGGGCAGCAAGACCCTTAAACAGGCATTTTGCTTTTATCTCACCCGTAGATTTATATTATAACAATTAAGATGCAGAAAAAACTGACTACATTTTCTCAATTCTATTGGGTGGCTAGGCACAGAGGCCATTTTAAATAAGTAATACACTCTTGAAATGAACTACAGGCCATTTGCAATTTAAAAAATGTAGAAACCATAATAATATACCCTTAGGTAAAAAGAATGTGCTATCACATTTTACTTTCCGTTTATTCATGAAATCTAGAATTCCTGCTTTAACAGATTTACATAAAAGTTACATATTATCTTTCTCCCCCATTCAAATAAATCACTACTAGCAAGAAGAAATACTAGCAGTTCCAGAGGGGAAATTCACAGCAAGTGTTGCTTGGACAAACATATTTAAAGAAAATATGGAATAGCTCTATTGATCCACTAAACCAGAGGTTCCTTCAGCATTTTCCTAATTTGTTGAACAGATGTGTAATTAGGATACTTTTCAATGGGCATTAGATAAAACAGTGGTTCTTCTGATATTACATAAGAAAAATGAATTCTCCTATTTGATTGATGCTTTATTATAGACTGCATGGGAAGGGAGTGTGAAAATCACTATTGCCACATGAAGTACATTTCAGGATAGGAAAATTTGTACAAGGTGAGATTTATTAAGCTAAAAACCTGTATTTTCAAAATTCAAAGCACATTAAAAATCACAACGTTTGCACTTTTTCTTCCTGTGCATTTGTCAGTGTCAAACACACACAGATGTCAACGTATACACACAAATAAAAATGTTAACTCAGAGAGCAAACTACAAAGCTGCAGCCTTACCAAGTTCAAAGTTCATGCCATTTTTATTTTCACTCGGAAGTCTCTCTTTACTTCTAGGTTATAAATACCTAAACGCTGACATTGTTAAAAGCACAAATTCCAGCTAACAATTCTGTGAAGAACTTTTAACTCTTACATAAAACCGTGAATTACGTTTCAAAGTAACCTTACTGCCTAGGAAACTATTTCAAATTTATAGGTAAAGTATTGGACAGTGACAAATTATCTAATTTTTAAAGCTATGCACGAGCACCTAGGTTTTTGACCCAAAGTGTATCAGCACCAATTCCAAAATACATAACCCTGGAGCAGGCAGCAGGAAGGCTCACTGAACTAAAGCCTATTTTTAAAGTCTAGACCGTAGGAGAGCACTGTTTGACTCTTTCCCATTGAAAGAAAATGACTGGGTATAACTATCATGAAAATGATAAAGAAAAACAAAAACCTGCCACTGCTGCTTCTTTACAAACAAGGCCTCTGTTGATCTAGTTTCATGAAACAGCCAAACTGGTCCTATCTCAAAAAGGAAACATTACAGAGAAAGTAAAAAACACTTGTAAACAAAGATGTTATATTACTACAGTATAATGCATCTCTCATTTGTCTTAAGTTATATTAAATATTGAGTTATGAAATTTGGTATGTATTGGGTTGTCAGAAAAGTCATGACACATTTTTGCAACAAAAAACAAAGAAAAAATACCTCGTGACTTTTCCGACAACCCAATACATCACAAAGAAGAACCACCACCGACAAGCCAAACTCATGAAACAGAACAGTACCATTCAAGTTTAAACCTCTGTGTGACCCACTTGTTTGTATGTTGGACTAGAGAAACAGGTTTTATGAAACAACTAAATTAAATTTAAAATGATTGAATTTCCTTAAGGGTTACTGCCCAGAGGTAGCTTTTTAAAATCAACAGTGCAGAAAGCAGAAGACTCATCTCATATCTAGCCTATTAGCTATGTCTATTCTTTTAGTGCTGTCTGTTTTTAAATGGAGGATAACTAGAAATGCTAGATTGCAGACGATAAATTTCTTAGTAACCATAATATGCAAACATTACATGTCCCTTCTATTTCTAGTAGATCTCAATTATGACAATTTTCTTAATATTAGGAAGGTAGGGACTGAAAGAGAACTCAGCCTTGCCAGTGGCTCCAAAAAAAAAAAAAAAAGTTGGTAATAGCCATCTTTTGCATAGGGAGGCTTTCACTCAGCAGTTCTGGAATTCATTTCCTTATGCCAGAGAAGCAGTCACCATTACAAAGCATGGGGGAGGCAACAAGAACACAGAGGACACAAATTCTTCATTAGGATCCATCCTGTCATTTAGCAGTTGGTCTAATTATGAACTTTTACTCTTTCCAGTGCGTTGGGAAAAAACCCAACAACAACCTTTATGTTTGTCATTTTGTCACTGACCAAAATGAGAGGGGAGGGGGCGTGAAGCCCGAACATTATCTGCAATGAAAGTATGAAAATATTAAGGTTATTAAGTACAACCACAGGTCCACTAATAGTTCTATGGGGTAAGAAAAATATCAGTTTCCTAAGAAATCAGGCAAATACCTAGCTTTGTTGCTTGTAGCCAAGGGGCAGGTTAAAAGGTCACCAGTGCATAAGGGGCCTACTTACTGCATATAACCTAACATTTCTTATTCTTTTTAGTGGAGACTAAAACTCTCCACTGCCAAGGTGAAAAATGAACTAAAATACACATTAAAAGAAAACAAACAAAACATTCCATAAAGATAAATAAGTACCTTCATGATGGCAAATATACATTCCCTTCTCTAAACTGAATTTTTTAGCATCTCTTATGATCTGTGTATTTGGTTTTCAAAATAGTAGCTCCTATTCTATTGTTTCTCATTGGAGCCTACAAGAGCTGCTACTAGTTCCCCGTAAATTTCAAAAATATCCAAAAACTACCATAAGAATATAGTGCTACTAAGAATTATGTTTCTTATCAGATAGTGTATGCAAAAGAAATCCACATGTCTGATCATTTTATTTTTCTCCAAATACAAAAAGCAGTTACAATTCAACTCCGCTGATCATCTTTTAAATGCTTAAACAGCATTAGATAGCTGGCCACAAGGGCAGGCTGTTAATTTCTTAAAAGCTGTGTTACAAAACTTTGGTATTTTTCTAAGTATCGGTAAAGGGATGGGGGAGAATCGTTTACAATGTAGATTTCAGCCCAAAGGGATCCTATATCAAATTAGGATTTTTCTTTAGCATAGAGAAACCAAATGCTGAAAATGTTCAAAACATTACCGGATTATTTTAAGGAACAAAATTCTAAAATGGGCATGTGTACTAGTAAATTCCAGATATGCTTCAAGTTCTTGGATAAAAAAAATTTCACTCTTCCTAATAATCATTCCAAATAATAATGTTGGTGTTTTGAAACAGACTAAAAACAAACAAAAAACCCATCTTCACGCCGTCAGTATTATAATTCCTTAGAAGAGCCAGGTAATTCCCCCCCCCCACCTTGGTAAATCAGTTATATCCAAGGGGTTATTAGAAACTCTCATATCCAATTGCACCTTATTGTCTACTGGAATTCTTTTTTTTAATTTATTGGGGTAACACTGGTTAATAACATTATATAAGTTTCGGGTGTACAATTCTATTACCTCATCTGTATATTGCAGTCTGCTCACCACCCAAAGTCTAGACTCCACCCCTCAGCATACATTTGACCTTTACCTTCTTCATCCTCCCCCGACCCCCGAAATCACCATACTGTTATATCTGAGTTTGTTGCTTTCTGTTGTTTTATATCCTACATGAGTGAAATCATATGGTTCTTGTTCTTTTCTGTCTGACTTCTCTCACTTAGCATGATACTCCATGTTGTCACAAATAGCAATATTTCATCGTGGTTTTTTTGTTTTTGTTTTTTTTTATGGCTAAGTAGTATTACATTGTATACAAGTACCACATCTTTATCCAATCATTTGTCAAGACACTTGTTTCCATGTCTTGGCTATTGAGAATAAAACTGCAAGGAACACAGGGGTGCATATATCTTTATGAGTGTTTTCAAATTTTTAGGACAGATACGCACAAGAGGGATTGCAAGGTCATATGGTAGCACTATTCTTTTTTCTTTTTTCTTTTTTTAGCTGAGCCATCCAGGCAGCTCAGCGGCTGCTCAGCTCGGGCCGGGACCCAAACCGCTGTTGCTCAGAGCTCAAACTCTTGAGCGAGCTCTTAACCAACTGAGCCACTTGGCTGGCCCAGTAGCACTACTCTTAATTTTTCGAGGAACCCCATGCTGTTTTCCATAGTGGCTGCACCAGTTTACATTCCCACCAGCAGTGTACAAGGGTTTTCTCTACATCCTCTGCAACACTTTGTAGTTATAGAGGGTGTAGTTTTTTTGGGGGTGCTAATACAACCACTGTATAAGACGCATCCAGTTTTTAGACCCCCAATTTTTCGAATAAGGGTGCGTCTTATACATGGGGAAATACGGTATCTTTAGCTAACTTGAGTGATTTAAAAAATTAGAAACAACACTTTCTAGTTATCGAGGGTGCCAAAAAAATGTATACACATTTTAAGAAAGGAAAAAACTATTAGAATTACGCTGATGGGAACCACTTTGAGCACCCCTTGTAATTACAGAAATCAAATGGGACTTGTATTCATCTTTTGTTATTGGTATATATTGAGTATTACAATTTTAATACAGTTTTCCTTTCTTAAAATGTATATACCTTTTTTTTGGCACCCTCTGTATTTCCAGGGCAGTTCATACTTTCTTTACCCACCCTAACCCCCCCACACACACACGCACACAAGATGTTCTTTATTTTTACCATAAAGAATGGAATAGACAGTAAAATCATCTTTTACATATAAGAAGCTGAAAATATTTTAGACTTCAAATTAACTGACTAGTTTTTCAGTGTGACCACATTTTAACATTATTGGTCTCACAATGTGCCACAGTGTAATAGACAACTTACTTTGAAACAATAGGTGTTCTTTTATTTCTCAACCTCAAGTTTATTTTATAAACTTTTAATTATTATCTTTGCTGAAAACCTTTGATAGAGGTGGTATTCATACCTGATTATAAGTTTGCCCAAATCTAAGTAACCAAATCACTACTATGGGAAAAAGAAAAAAAAGAAAAAAAAATTCCTTAAGAGTCAGAATCCGAGCTTGTCATAGTGAAACTCATTTTACCACATGGAATTTCTAAGACAGGCAGAGAAAATGTATGTGTTGAGCGAAGATGCCCAAGTGTTTCACATACTGCATCTGTTCAAGGTTAGTTTAAATCAGCAAATGTAAATTAGAAGTGCTGCTATATACTTTGTCATTTAAGCCTTCACATCACTATTTTATAGACTCTTTGAACAAGAACGCTTTAGTTATCACAAGAAATCATCATTAACTTTTTTAAATTGGCCAATGTAACTATCCGATCAGACCGGTTGGTGTTTCTCAGGGTATGTGGACTATGCCCTATGGGTGAAGAAAGAACACGCGACTATGTGTGAGTCACTTGACTTAAAGCCCTGAACCTCACTGGCACAGAGCTGGTCGGCTGAGCCCTGGAAAAGTTAGTTTGTCAGTTCAATTTACTCATCTGTAAAATTAAGACCAAATTATCTCATATTTAAATAACAATTAGCGGTGTTCAGAGTGCTCTGGCATGCTTCCTCCCCGTGGAGGGTTACAAGAACTTTGATGGGTGGGAAAAGATGGTGCTCCCTTTTATAGATTTCTTAGAACTGTTGCAAAGATCCCACGTGACACTCTAAAAGCTGCAAAATAGCAACACAAGTCTGGGGTACAAGCATGCACCCCCACATTCCTAGCTGCTCTGGAAGAATGGACTTAAAAGTATGATCATCACAATGGCTGAGTGATTAAACAAGCCATTTACCGGGGCAAAAGGTTTTTAAAAGGCTGAAAATAAAAGGAAGCAAATCAAAGTTGATCTGCTCCCTGAAAGTATGGAAAGAATGTTTTCAAAAAGTACATGCATATGTAGTTAAAAAAAAATCTCTTAGTATTCACCAAAATATTTAATAGTTAACCACTAAGAGAGGTAAGCTCCGAGTGGTGGGAAATATCGCGATTTTTTTCTCTTCCTTTTGTTCATCTGTGTTTTTTGAAACAAACATAAACGAGTTATTCTTGTAAACAGAAATATGCCGCTGGCAGGTTACAAGCATGTACATTTAAAAGCTCTAATTCTAACTCCAGTGACAACTCCCAGGAACCCACTGGGATTTCAAGGACACAAGCAGGAAGCCCAGAAATCAGTAAAAACGGGTGGTAACTGCCCCTGCGCACTTTGACAGCCATGAACCACCCATTTTTCAACCTGACTGCGGAGGAAGCCCGGAGAGGGCACGGGTGGCTCGTGTCAGAAATTCCCTCTAGCACAACCCGGATCTCGAGGAGGAAGTGGGGCTGCAGGCGCTAGTCACACAAGTAGAGGGCGATGGGGAGGGGGCCGCGAACCCCACGCCGAATCGGCCCCTCCACCCCCAACCCACGCAAGGCGCCGGCGATGAGCGACGGGCCCCCGGGAACCAGGCCGCTCTGCCAAGGGGGCTTCCAGTCGGGGCCCAGGGTGCTCGCCCAACCCACGGGGCCCAAGCGCCCATCTTACAGGGTTTCTTGGCATCCTTGATCTTCATGGCGACGGCCTGAGGGGCGAGGGGCAGCCTCGGGTTCAACGCACCGAGGGTGGAGGTGGCGACTCCGGAGGTGGCCGGGCAGCAGTGCGCGGAGGCCGGGCGGGTTCCTCCCCTTAGGCCGGGCAGGCGGGGCGGGCCTAGGGCGGGGCAGCGGGCCTGAGGTGAGGCCCAGCCTCGGGGGCGGCCCCCCCCACCCCTGCGAGGGGCGCCGGACCGAGGGAGCTGGGGAAGGCCGCCGGCCTCGCCGCTCCAGGGCCCCCCCCCACCCCCCCTGCAGCTGCTCCAAACAAAAGGCCCGGTCCCCCGAGCTGCCGCCGCCGCACTGAGAAGTCGCCCGCCCGGGCAGAGCGCCCACGTGACGCGACCCCCCTCCTCGCCGCGCTCCGCCGGGCTGCTGGGGACTGTAGTTCTCCGCGTCGCGAGACCCAGCTCTCGGGGTGCGACTGTGCAGGGGGACTGCAAGGCCCAGGATGCATCGCGGTCGCCCCTCCACGGCCCCGCCGAGTCCCGCGATCGCCTCAGAGTGGTCCCAGCGAGAAGGGGGCGGGGTCTTGGTCACGCCAGCGACGAGGCGGCCAATGGTGACCGACGGATGGGTGGGCTGAAAAGTCTAGGGCTCTAGCGAAGCCCCGCCGCCAAAAGAGAAGGGGAAGGGCGCTCTGCGGGCGCTGTCATGGCTGTCGTGCAGGTCGCCGACTTTCCCTGGAGGCACAAAACCTGGTCGTTGTACCAAGGAAAGCGCTAAATGCAAGGCTCTAGAGGCAGTCTTTAGACAGACCGTTGAATGCATTTATAAATTAAAGTCCTTCACAAGGGAATCCCCTGGCTTTAATAGAGGCATGTCAGATACTGGGGGCTTGGAGTGATGGTAGTGAAGATGATGAAGACGGCAATAGGAGGAATAGGTAGCATTTATTAAATGCTTGCCATGTCCAAGGCACTCTGCTAAGCACTCTTTGTGAGTTGATTTAGTTTAGCAACCTTGAAAACTACTTGCAATTATTATTCGTTTTATTACTTATCACTCATTTTAAAGATGGGGCAGAAGAAGAGAAGTTAAGTCACTTGCAGAGCACATGCTCGCTGCCAGCATTCCATAGTCCCCTTAGGAGCTCTGCAGCCCTGCTCCCTGCTCCCGAAGGGGAAATTGATTCCCAGGGAGGAAAATTAGGTGCTCTAGTTCTCATAGCAAAGCCAGGGCACCCTTTTCTCTCTGCCTCCTAGATTCTGAGTCTTCTGGCCGGAAGAGGACTCTTCTGGCCTCCCCTCCGCATCTGTCCCCCACTTAGCTGACCCAGGATCCAGGCCACAAATGGTTTGAGAATTGGCGATGGAGGATTGGGCCTTTCTTGCTCTTTCCTTATACGGGGTAAGCCCAGGACTAAGGACAGGAAGGGACACAAACGACCACTGAGGGAACGCCTTCTAAGAGCTGGCACTACGCAAGGTGCTTTACTTTTTAAATTTTAATTTAAACTTAATCCTCACCACCACCCTTTGAAATATGATTAAGAACACACTTGAATTCACATTTTGGTCCTACAATTTGGCGATAAATTTGGGCAAACGATTTCATCTCTCTGGTTCTCATTGGAAATAATGATGCCAGTCACATTTCAAGGGATTGAGATGGGGATGAGATGAAAGAAGGCAGATAAAGTGCTTACCGCACGGCCTGGCATGTAGGTAATGATCAGTAAGTGACATCTACCTTTATTTTTGTATTGTAATCGTTACCCTTATCTTAAAAATAAGAGAAAGTTTTAAGTATCTAGACTGCCCAAGGTAATTATTTAGGATTGGACCCCAGGTCTGATTGGTGCTTTGTTACCTTTCGTTATTTTGACCCCAGGTTCCACATTTATTGTTTAGAAATATTTTTTTTAATCTAGAATGTTTATAGAAACATTCTTCTGAGCTCCCAGATATGTGACCTGATAACTTAGAACTCTGAGTGGTAGACTTAACCTCTTTTCCTCTTTTTTTTCTCTGTGTCACTTCATCCTACATAGAACCCCACATATTCCTGAATGGTCTTGTTTTCTCACAGTTTTACTGGGTGATGGTCATGATTTTGGATCTGACATGACTTCAAAGAGTGTTCACTATGTAATACGATTCACCCACTGATTCTGTAAATCTTGTGTGTGTTCCCTGTTTTCTACCAGCATATATCTTTTGGTTGTTTCCTGCCTCGTTTTGACAGCATCAGCTTGGAAGTCAAAGGAGAAGTGATACACGTACCTTATGATAGGCTGGCTGTGGTCCCAGTGGAAAGAGAGCTAGAAATGAGAAGCCGTAGGAATTTGGGTGAGCTTTAGACATAGGCCCTTGTTCGTATCTGTGGCCTCAGAGATGAGAGTACACATGGATGACTTAGCTTAATGTAGCTTTAAAATTAGGTTTATACCAGTGATGTTCTATGCCAGGAAACCAGTGGACTTTAAACAGTAAGAATTCTAGTCTTAGACCAGCCCCGGAATTTCTTTGTGGCTTTGAGAAAGTCCTTTTTCCTCTTTGGGCTTCACATGACCCAAATGTAAGATGAAATGATTGTGTGAGGTTTCTTCCATCTCTGCTTTTTGAGGCTCACAAAAATATGTCTCTTTCAGGAGCGATCGATGTGTTCAACTATGTTTTCCTGTAAGTTTTCCCACGTGTTACTGAGATTGACAGGTCATCCTGCTTCAGTTTGTGGTCAGAGTCTTTCTTCTGCAGCCCTGGCTGACTGTCAGGCCCCGTCCTCACCTCCAGCACTGTCTGGTTACCTGCATTTTCTCTTTTCTCTAGCATGTCCTCAAAATCCTTCCCAGCAGAGTGAGTGTGAGAGCTGGAAAGAGCATCTAAAGGGGCAAAGAGACTGTCTTCCTGTCTCAATATTTATTGTCTACCAAACTTGATAAATCCACCCCGTTTTACAAAGTGATAGAGGGCACCTGACACAGCCTCATTTTGCTTTTACTGAGTGGGTATCCATGGAGACAGGCGGTAGATTATACCTAAAGGGGACTCTGAGGTCTCCTGGCACGAATTACACACACACACACACACACACACACACACACACACACACGCGCACACACACACGCACACACAGCTTCAAAGCCCAGACCAAGCTTGTAACAGTGGATTCTTTCTCTAATTAGATGGTCAGGAACATGCTTTATAGTCAGTCCTTGGATCCACAAACTCAAACCAGCATCTCACTGTGGGAGAGCATCATCGTATGAGCCTCATCGTCATCATCATCATCACCAACATCGTGATAGCGGGAGCACAGTTTCATCCAACAAGTATTAATTGAGCTTTAGCTGTGTTCCGGGCACTGGAGTACATGGTGTGGGGAAAAGAGGTAAAAAAAAAAATAAGAGAGAAACAAAACTTAGGTTAGCAAATCTGTAAACAAGAGTAGGCTGTGATAAGTAATGTGAAGGAAACCATCAGGTTGATGGGCTGGAGCAGGGGTCGGCAAACTTTTGAGATGGAAGAGCTGCCAGGGGTCAGCAAACTGCGGCTCGTGAGTTTGAAAAACTTGAAAATGAAAATAAAACTATCATCGTTTCATTTATAAAGTTTAAAAGGATATTATTCACATGATGGTGATTACGAAAAAATATACTTATGGCTCTCAAATAATTTTTAAATTGTTATGAGGGACAGAATTGGCTCTTCCAGGAGTCGGCAAACTTTTGAGGCGGAATGCACCCAAAGAGCCGCATGCAGCTCACGAGCCGCAGTTTGCCGACCCCTGGGCTGGAGGGTGCCTGGAGTTGCAGGAGAGGAGGAGGCTCTATTTTAGTCTGGATGGTCAGAGAAGGCTTCTCGGAAGAGGTGGCGTAGGGGCTGGGATCCATGCAAATTGCCGGGTTAGACAGGAGTGTGACTGGTCCTGGAGGTAGGTTTGGTTCGAAGAACAAAAGCCGAGGGTGGGGAGTTGAGAGCAATGAGTGAAGTGATTGGAGGCGAAGCTGGAGAGGTGGGCATGCTAGGCCTTGAGGGCCACGGGAAGGACATAAGCAGGGCAGTGACGTGATCTATGATTTTAGAGGGCTGCCGTGGCTGCTGTGTGGAGAATGGGTGGACTGGAGAGGTGCCACAGCTTGGAAATGGAAAGACTGGTCACCTCAGGCCCCTCCCGTGCCCTCCTGGCCCACATGCAGTCCCCTAGGCTGAGGGGCTCCAGGAGCCGTGCGGGGGGCTTGAATCCGCGTAGTGACGGCAGAGATGAGAGAAGTGCTGGAATCAGGAGCTCCTTTGAATAAAAGCTTACTGAGCGCTGACTGTGTGCCAGGCACTGTTCTAGGGATTCGAGACACGGAGAGGAACAGGACGAGCCCCAGGCCTCCTGGAGCTTACATTCCAGAGGGAATAGACAGGAAACTAGTGGACAGATGTATAATATTATTTTAGATAGTATAAAGCAGATAGCAATATTTAGATAGTATAAATGCTGGGAAGATAAGGGGCCGGCCGAGTGGCTCAGTTGGTTAAGAGCTCGCTCAAGAGTTTGAGCTCTGAGCAACAGCGGTTCGATGCCAGCCCAAGCTGAGCAGCCAAAATGTAGAACGGTTTAGCTAAAAAAAAAAAAAAAAAAATGCTGGGAAGATAAAGCAGGAAATGGGCATCAAGAGTGAAGAGGCTGTTTGAGTTAGAGCGGTAGTTGATGAATTAGATGAGTAGGTGGGGGAGGTTTCAGGGTTTGGGCTTGAGTTTTGAGGGTGACATTTACCAAGAAGGAGGACCACGGGGAGTAAATAAGTGGGAAACTAGGGCTCTGCCTTGGCCTTGTTGCTCCTCCAAGGCCATCCAGTCCTCAGATTGGGGGTGCCACCCGTGTTCTGCCACAGGACCCAGCCTACTTCTGCAGTTGACGGTTAGCATCGTAGAGGCCCCCAGCCGGCTTGTCACATGTTTCCCTCCTGCCCAGGATTGAGTCCTCCCAGACATCTCCTTATGGGAGCAGGGAGGAGCCTCTGGAGCTGTGCTCTGCCTGCTGACCCCACCTCCTGGCACTTACCTGGAGCCCAGCCTCGGATCGCCACCCTCCCACACCCTCTTACCTGCGCGCTTCCCTAAAGGCTCTGCCCCAGCCGGTATACCAGCACCCACCCACTCACCTGACGTAAAAGTTGAGAGTCATCCTGGACTCCCTTCGCCCGCTCTCAGCCCACATCCTGTTGGTCAGCAAGTCCTTTTGCTGCTACCCCGTGTCCGCCCCTCCTGTCCAGCCTCCTCATCTCACATTTTTATACCCTTAAAAGCCCTTCTGGCCTCTAGACTGGCTTTTTCCCATCCACCCTCCTTAC